CAGCCCACAAAGCATCCGATAAAGTCAGCTACTCCCGCCCAGACCCCTATTCCGAATCCTCAAAGCAACACCACCCACACAAGTGCTGTTTCAACTGGCGTACCTGTTGCTATTCAAAAAAGTGGGGCAGTTTCTCAACCAGCGAAAGGTATTCCTTATCTTTACTTCATATAATTGAGTAGTTGTCACGCCCGCACAACCAGCAGTACCCCAGAATTCTACGCATTCAGCACCCAAAGTAACGAAAGTGGCTGCCTTGCAATCCTTGGAGCAACAGTGCAACGCTAAGAAGTCTGTTTTAAGGAAGCAGCTGGAACGGAGTCTGGAAAAAATACCTCTTCCACGACCAAGTGCTGGAACTGGTTTGTGTGAGATAGCGTTCATTCCCAGCACTCTTACTTCCGAGTTCACTTCACTGCTCGGTCTGGAAGAAGTTGTCAAGAATATGCAAGTACGCTTTTCAAAAATGAGTGCTTTACCTTTATGCTAATCTATTTGTTAGATTTTAGACAGGGTTATGTGACTGATCAGTTATTCCTACGACAAGGCATCACAAGGCCTTAGTGTTTATTACATCATGATTGCAACCAAAACAGCGATTAAGACAGATCTTTATCTATCACGCCATGGCAGCATTTCAGTTATTGCTGTAGGTGTTTCATAGAATGCTAGAAAACAAAGCAATGCACTGCCCGTCTCAGTGTTATAGCCAGGATTGTGACTAATGCAAATTCGAGGGCACTACAAGTTTGTATGTTAGAGAACCATCTCACCTGCGCAGTACACCTGCTGTTGTGCCGTGGCTATTTTTCGTCAGGAAGAACAAGGCCTAACAAGTTGCGTTTGCGCCATTTTGCCCGTGGGATTTTTTTCAATCGCGACCGAAGACAACCACCGTCCCGATCTTTTACCCAACAAAGTAACTCGCACGGATCCTTGCGTGCTCTGAAGACTTATCCTCGGAAATTCCATGTGTGATCAATATTGAAGTTTATATTCACCCTTGTTATGAAGGACTTAGCTTATCAATATTCCTCAGAATTACCTCTTCACGTTACCATACTATAGTAGACGCGAACCTGTATGTACCAGTTTAGTACGCAAGCTCGTTTCGTTTTTTTAACGAACTTGGTTTTTACTTCCCTTCAAACCGAAGTTTTTCAGACGAGGCATTTTTAAGCTCATTGGGAGGTGAAATGGTATCATAGAGGACACTAAATGCATATTTGATTAAATACGTATACCATCACTATTTTTTATATATCATCGTTGTGCACAATTAAAACAGAAACAACTTTCCTCCCAACCCAATACTTCGTATCTTAACTGCAGTCAGACATGCATGGCTTTCGTGCCAGCTATTCCCTGCTTACCGCCCTGCCTTAAAATTCCCCTAAGAGGTTTGTGATTTAGTGGAAATCCTGCGGGTGCCAAGGAGCATAACTACGCAGTCCCGGGGTATTTATGGTTCCAGGAAGACGGGTTATCCGTTAGTTTAGTTGCGTGCTACCCGTTGCGTCCACGGGTGGCGGATAATCGGACGGCCTTCGACGAAGGTTAGGTGCGAAATAAACACGTGCTCGGTGAATAAAATCACTGACTAGCAGTGACAGTGTTCCCAATGTGTTCAGAGCCGAGGTATGGCACGTCTACTACCTTTAAAATAATACAACCCGGTAACGGCACGATGACATGGCAGCAGTGGACGAACATTGAACAAGTTTTCTTGCCACCGTCGCCTTGTGGCTCAGTTCTTGAGGCAAACCGTTTGAGGAGCTAACCTCTGTGGTTGTTTGCAACTCGACTTCCACTAAAGTCCCTTAGAAACATTAACTTTCCGAATCATGTAATTTGGGAGCCGCCGCGTTCCATTACCCTAGTCTAGTGGTGCACAAATTGTATGCCAGCTGAACCGCTCAATCTGGAACGGACTCTTAGTATTGGGTGATGGAATGTACGAAATTTTTTGAACCCAGGGCCTAACGATGTGCAGTTTCCATCAGTATAACACGAATGTCTGCTGCCCGTTTTAAGTCCGAATACCTGACTCTGACGCAAAAGAAATAAAGATTCCATGAGTCAAAACCCACTTGATTGCACCACGGTGGCCCGAACGACAGTTCGGGTAAACACGGGGTGACGATCGCACTCGCCGGCCATAAACTGTGCATTATTTGCTTGGTAACCAGCCAGTGACCGAATGACTTACGTGCGGCTAAAAGGTAGTGTTACAGACATATATGCCTCCGTGTACGCCCTGGAATCGGCTGCAGGCCAGAATGGTATTTAAACCTCACAGTCTCAACAGTTTAAAGGCTCCCTGCCGTGATCCATTGATAGTTTTCGGGGACTGGATCAAGTGACTCTTCGAACAGTCACCTTATTGACCTCTTTGGGCTTGGCTCTCAATGGGACGATGATTAAAGAATGCTTAACTTCGCTGATCAGAGCTTACTATTTGTCATAATTATTCCATATGCTTACCTGTCATTCAAACAGCGATCATAAGGCCAGTGGCTATTTTAAAAGAGGTTCAAGGTTATGCAGCTGGATTTGTTGCACCAAATCGATAATTGCTGTCAAAACTAGTAATATAGATGGGTAGAATCTTTTTTCTTTGGGACATGGTTGAATGTTAACTTATGCACACCCAAACTATAATATGCAAGGCTCATTTATGTAACGAAACCACGACTTTCCGGTGCAACCGAGGCCCTAAGTACAGAAATCCCATCTCCTTTTTCGACTGAACTCGCGTAAGGTAGATGTCAGGTTACAAGTCTGTGGGGCAATTGAAAACAATATTGGACTAATCCGGCGGCGTCGCATTGGCTGGATTATCGGAAAAACCTTGCAATTGTTTGTTCAGGTGCCTCGAGCTGAATCCCACAATAGTTATTCCTTCCACAAACTCAGGAGGTTGACGACAAAGTCGGCTAGACGTGAACAGCAAAATTATTGAGCCCAAATAACGGCATTTACGAAGCAGGGTTCAAACGTTGGTGACATCCAAAAATTAGCAAACTATCTGCCAAGTTAATCTTAAGCCTCCTGCACCCAGTGACTTCGCGATGCAAAGAATACGGCATTTCCTATGAAATCTGCAACTCTTGTGTCCACATTGGCGCATTGGCTCAGTGAGATGATTTAGCAAGCGGGAGGGAGATGAAGTCGTTTCTGATGACTGGGGCCCGGCATTCTTGTGTCTGTCCCCAAGACAAAGTGCTTAAACGACCGCGACACAACTCTGCTCGGTGTTGCCGCAACGGCTTTACCTATTATCATTCTCAGGTGCGTACTTGAATCTCATCAACAGCCGTCCACATTGTGAAATGCTCCTTTGCGCTCGGTTTATTCTATAATTAGTACCTTTAACGGATAATGGAACTAGATGGTATACCAACAAATATCACCATAATCAAGAAATACTGTCGCTCCACTACTGCGCAAATTCTAGTTAATAATGACCTCTTAACTGTTCAATATTCGATCAGGCCTTCTAAAAGATTGTATCCTCTTGCCCATTCTGTTCAACTACGCCGTAGGTTAGATCCTCGGAAGGGCCCTACCCGGCAGATGATATCGGCATGTGGGCCTCGAGCTTTAATGATAGTTTGTGTTTTCAGGAGTGAACTCCATTTTAAGTCGGGAAATATGACCAGGTGTCAGGCCCGAAGACGTTCTTCTGCCAATTTATCCTGTTTTACTTGATATTTTACCTGATACTGATACCTGGGTGTCAAACAAATGCCACTTCTAACCCCTGGTTCACTTTCCAGCATCTAGCATTCTCCATCACTGTCGGCAGGTTGAGGGCACCGATCCGAGTAGTCTAGTTTAGAATGATAACACAGAGTCTAGTGAAACGAAATGCGGCCTATTGATTATTTTATATTTCTTCAGGAAATGACTTTCAGGAAGAAAGATCTCAATAATTAATATAAAATAGAGAGGCTGTCCGTCCATCACTGTCTTACCAAAACAACTTTGGTGGTACATTTAGATTACGCATGCTAGTGCCTTGTTCTCCCCAGCTCCGCCTTTTCTTTCGTGTGTTCCATC